TTTTTCTGCCGAAATAGCGGTGCATCGGTTCTTTCTCTCTAGAATCATATATCAGGCGAGAATGGAACATCATCCTCCCCCAAAACTCCAGCAACTGGTCTCCTCAGTTCCCAAACGTTGCTAAAAGAAAAAGGGAATGCAATACTGTGGTAAACATGGCCCTGTCCCAACTTTTTGAGAAGTGTTGCTGCCATCAATTTCAAAATCACCTTATATGTTTCTGAAAATGGTCCATTTTCTCAGCTTAAACATTTGACATGTTTTCTATTTTGTATTGTGAATAAAATTTGGGTTCATGTGATTTGCACATCATTGCATTCTGTTTTTATGTAGGTTTCTCACAGCGTCCCAAATTTTTTGGGAATTGCCTTTTAAATTATACATACATACATACATACATACATACAAGATCTAATAAACTAAACACATACCGTATATATAAGATTTTCTTTTTACATTTGATTGATCTTTTTTTATGTATAGCTGGTTTTGGATTGAGCGCAATGGTCAAAAATGCGGTCAGGTTTTTTTCTTGCCTTCTATACCCCATTGGGGAAATCTCCCTGTTCTCTCTTGCTGTTTGGCTTTAGATGCACTTTAAGTTACCATATACAGTTGATAATTTTACATGTTGTTGTTCTGCAGGCCTAAGTAATCCAAATAAAATGATAAAGCCATCCTACTAGAGAAGGTCAGGAAAATCCAAGCAACCTTGGGTCTCATCATAAAGAGAATCGGTCACTTTGGCCATTCGGTGAATAGCGATAGGTCCTCTTGAAAAACCCCTTCCCTACCACCACCAATCCATATCTCACCATGTTTCGCTGCAGATACATTTGTAGGTCAGCACCCTGGGCCACTTGTGAACTTTGTGTCAATCAGTATCAGAGGTTATGTAGGGTTAAATACCTTATCCCTTCCCCAAATGACAAGTGGCAGTTAAAGCCTGAGCACTGCACTCTGGGAAAAAGGTAAGAAAGTCACATACTCTCCAATATCCGAAAGCCCCAAGTATTTCACACCGTTCCATCATACAGAGCAGCAGAAGAGAATAGAGATGGTCTGTGCTGAGGGGGTGGCGTGTGCTTCCAAGAGGACCTCAGGTCAAAGTGACAGATTCTCTTTAATGGGACTCCATCATAAATCAAACCTTTGTGTAAGAAAGTTCTGATGGAAGCAGCCAGTTCCCAATTCATATGATGTATACAGGTTCCTGGCCATTGATCACTGAATAGTGATTTCCTTCGAACTGTCACAGGACACAAGTAGGAAAGTACAGCTTCTATCACATGCTTCTCAAATGAATGTTTTTCTTTTATGACAAATTCTCTTGAAAATAATTTCGTCAAATTCGCATACAGCCAAATCTTTGACCCCAATGAACTTCCAGACTGTCTGGGGGTGAGTGAGTTCCATGATGGAGAGTCATGAACCTGGCTATGAGTAAGGCAGTCGTCATCACCGATTTTCACGGCTGATTTATTTCTACTTATGGGTTAGTCCACCAAAGCTTCTACAGGGATGTGGACATGACTAATGTCCTATATTTCTTACAGTGACCATGAACCCAAGCTTTTACACTTTCATTAGTAATAGAGGCCCCTTGGTCTATGTGACATATATACAAAAGCCACCTCTTAGCCCCAATGAAGGTTCGGTGGAGTACAGAAGTAAACTATGACTAATCTAGAGTGGACGTCAATACATCACAATCTGACAAGAGGCACTGATAAATGCTTCAACCAAAGAGGGGTGCCAGCGGCCTCCAGTTTGGCACAAGGCCCAGACACCACTTCCTGCGACAGGGGCAGACAATATTTATCCTTCTTCTGGCAACGGGCCCATGTAATTACTCTTCCCCACAGAAGTGTCTCAATGCACAGACACTGAACAATGCCTTGAGAGTCAAAACCATTGCTTTACTGTGAAATTAGATTTCATGTTATTTTACTTGTTACAGCAATATCACCCCTCCAAAGCAAGAGATAGACTAGAATAGTCTATAACAACACTCCAAATGTAGATTATGCTACAGAGATTTCTATATTGAAGCAATGACAAGCCCTAGCCTTCTTAATGCCATTTTTAAGTGCCACTTGTAAAGATAAAAATAAAGCTGGCCATATACTAAGATGTAGGATTCTCTTATCCACTCTAAAGAAAGTTTAGCGAGCTGTGATTGCATACTTGTTCTGTGCAGGCTCTGGGGCTATGATCCTTACTTCACTACCCAGTGAATCATGGACCCAGCACATGTAGTCAATTTAGGGCCGGTGCAAAATTGACACCTAGGCGACACCCCACCGTGCGATAATTATGCCCAGGTGTGCACCGATCGCACTGTGGGTGCCATTATTTTCCAATAGCACCCCGGGCGGATCGCGCGCGATTCCGCCCATGCTTCCGAACGGGATTGTGGCTAAAACAGCCGCGCTTCGTGTATCGCAGAAAAATGGTACAAGTATCTTTTTTCTACGATACACGACGCACCGCTGTTTTAGCTGGGAAACCGCGTGATCCGCCCAGCGCGACTGGGGTGCCATTGGAAAATAATGGCACCCACAGTGCATACCTGGGTGACACCTGACCATTATCGGTGCATACCTGGGTGACACCTGACCGCGCGGCAATCATGCACGAATGCCGTGCGGTGGGGTGTCGCCTAGGTGTCCACCAACCTTTAGAGTGAACTCCGATTCAGTTGCACATTAGACCAGGGCTGGACAAATCCCAAAAGTCAGACAGCCAATGTTCCTTAAAAAAAGTCAGCTGGCTCCTAACTTCAGAGGTTTTTTTCTAGTTGTTAATATTACCTGCTCCTAACAAAAATTCCTGCTGGCTCCTGGATTGGACAGACAGATTATTTTGTCCACCCCCGCACAAAGACAGTAAAAATATGCATATGTATGAAGCCTGCAACCTTATGTGACATATTAACCCTTTCTCTGCCAAGCCCATTTTTCAAATCAGCTGGCCAAGCCATTTTTGAATTTTCTGCAATTTTTTCCTATTGATTTGATTTTCAACTGCTGCGTTGCTAGCGTTTGTAAAAGACCCCCCAAACCATATATTTTCTGAAAGCGCAGGCCCGGTAGAATAAAAAGATGGTGATACTAAATTTGTAGGCCCTGCGATAATTGCGCAAATGTTTCTCAAATTAATATTAAACCGATAAAAATACACAATTCAATTGTTAAAACACACCAAAATCAGTATACGTGCACAAAAAAAATTATTTTCTGACTAAATCTAAAAGATAAAACTGTATTGAGTTAATAAATAACAAATATTAGCAAATTTGTAATTGCGCATTTTTGCGAAAAGGTAAAAAAATGAAGGTATGCAAAACTGTAAATAATCGACTTATGTAAAAAATTGTTTTGGTGTTTGTGTTGTGATAAAATGATACAGGTGTATATTTAATTGCAACACAAGGTATCACAACGCATGGCAATGAGTCACAAAGCTTTGCCATGCGCTGCCACAGTTAATTTAATGTTTTTTTAAAAAGAAAATAAATAAAAAAGATCATGCACTGTGATGCGTTCTAACAACGCACTGCAGCGCATGTGCATGGTGTGCACCACAATATGTGTGTGTTATGTGGGGGGAGGGAGGGGTTGTGCTTTTTTTCATTAGTTTTTTTTTACACATTTTTTATTTTTTTTTAAATGATTTTATTTTTTTAAACATTTTTTTATTTATTTTTTAATAATTTTGTATTTATTTTTTTTACTGTTGGGGGGGCTACGGTGAAATCTCTGGGGTCTAAAATTCTGCATTCATTGCTGTATAATTTTACACTTTCCATTTCACTATATTGCACACCACACTATTTTTTTTCTTTTTTACTTCCACCGCTCCAAGCTTTCTCCTGTGATGGACTACAACCTCAATACAAACTAGTAGTCCCATCATTGGAGCCATTTTTAAAAATGTATTTTATTGTTTATCCGATTAACCGATTAATCGAACTTAATAATCGGCTAACTAATCGATTTTGAAAATAATCGTTAGCTGCAGCTCTATAGTAGAACTGTAAATGCCAGGTCCGTACGGCATACTGAGCTGGCCAGCTGGAAGCACTTTTGTAGCTCCGTACGCAGTTGCCTTAAAGCCAGTGAGGCTCCCCGCCAGCTCATCTTTTTTTGTCACACCCCTGACAATCATGTGAATGTGGTGGCATATCTAGGATCCAGCTTTACTGCCGTATATGAGGCAAGCATTATATTTTACTTAGAGTCAGACGTATGCATTATACATTTTCATACATCAGTGGCCAGCATTATACATTGGCACCACAAGGTGGTATTATATTTTAGCAGCTCTGAATCAGGAGAAAAAAAGAAAATTCTGCCTTCATGAACCAATAGGAGCTTTACTTTCTATGATTTAGATATGTACACAGCCCCGCTCCTGATCACTCCAGTGTATCTTAACCTCAGAAACAAAAATGTGATGGTTTGCAGCTTACCAGTCCTTAGGATAACGTGGCTGCATTAGTATTTTTATTTTCACCTGGTGATCTGGCCAGTAGCTGTCCTATGGTAACAACACTCACATACTAGATCTATAGAACTGCAATTTTGGCAGCGTATGACAAAGTGTCAGGACTACAGAAAAACCTTTCCCCCTCCTCGGCACCATAACACAGAGGTTATGTAGAGGTGTAGTGTAGTTCACAGAGGGGACACGGATGGGATTGATACTACGTGATAACACTTGAGAACGGCACTGGATTACTGGCAGGATCAACAGGTTTTTTTTTTGCACTTTTCAAACAGATATAACAAAACGCCTTCAATGATATATTAAACAGACCAGATAAGAGACGTTCGTAGTTACAGTTTACAATTTTACACCAACGCCTACAAATTATTCTGGAGGTGTGCGGTTTAGGACCTGAGACAACCTTATCAGAGATACAAAGGGCTCTGCCACCTGAAATTATACAAATGGTCAGGTTTGAAGTTAACCCTCAAGGTGTAATTCAGACTTACTTGATCAAACTGTGGGTCCTCTCCTCTTTGCAGAGATTTAGTCAACGGCTTCTCCTGTAAACAAAATAAAACAGGTTTTACATGATTCTACAGTTTGTATAATTCAGTAACAAGTTGATCTGAGCACATTATGAAAGTGTGGCCCGCTCTGGAACCTAATACAACAATTTTCCCCCTCCAGGGTCCACACACCAGTGCTGCCCTGAATTTGTGCCCCATTCACACCTGCAATTGGATCCGATTGGATGATTCTGATAAATTGCTCCACAAGACTTATGTGAACAGCTGTGGCCACTCCCATGTAATCGGACATGGTGAGATTACCTGCGGACAATCGCTCCTGGACGCAAACAGTTTTGCCTGTGGATTGCAGCTTTTTGCATGAGTCTCACAGAGCAATTCATGAGACTCGCCAATCAGCACCAATCACAAATGTGAATGGGGCCTGAGTCTGTATTTCCCGCAGCCACTGATTATTTACCAGACAGTCCCAATCAAGTGCACATAGATGTCTTCTTCAAATGATCATAACCCACAAGTAACAGCCTTAAAGTGTATTTCCACTTTTGCAGTCAAATTTAAGAAACTTCAACTCTATATGAGTTCCCATTCATAGAACATACCTAAAAATAATAATTAATAAAACAAATCTTACCTTTCTAGTTGTTTCTTTGCAGCAGGATTTTTATATACGACTGCAAGCTATTCTGAACAATTTCAAAGTGCAATTAGAGGCGCAAACTGAGTACAGAAAGTACATCAACAATGTACTACCCAGGCCTTGAGATCTTCGACCCTTTGTTAGAGCAGACAGTGTTTAAATCTAGCTTACAGCTGATAATGAGATCTGCCAGCACAGTACATACAGGGTTAATTATGGTAAACACAGATCCACAGCCCCCCCCCCGCTCCTAAACAAGATATTGAAGGGGAGAGCTCAGTAGCAATTTTAGGCACATAAAATGGTAAGCTGCAATTTTTAAATATATATATATTTTTGTTATGCTATGTGAATGGGAACATGTAACAAATATAAAGTAGGTCTTATCCCAACTGCAAAAAGTAGAAACACACTTTACAGGCTTGTTTACACGAGGGGTGTTGAGCTGTGTTGATAGGCATTGATCAATGCAGACTCACTGCAAGGGCACAATTGTTTTCTATGTGCCTTACTCACCATGTATATGCTGTGGGCCACATTTTTATGCAGTGCAGTGCACATCACTGTATGCCGACGCACGCATAGAAATGATTGAAATGTCATTAATAAATTAAATGACATTTTATTTATTTAGCAAATTAGTAAAGTAAACATGAGAGTGTAGTCCATCACGGGAGCAAGCTTGGAGGGGTGACTACTTTACAACACACACTGGGACCATGGAGAACAAAAGTGGCCACCCTCCAAAAGGAAGGACAGTGTCAGCACCAATTCAGAGATGATTTGAGGATCTACAGCCGAGTGATACACAAATAAGATACATTTCTGTTACTAGTTAGGTACTTGAATGCATTTTTAAGATGCAACTCCTTAGTTTAGTGTCACTTTAAGGCTAACCATAGATTGATTTTTGTTTGAAAAAAACTCCAAAATGATGGCTCGCCTGAGCCACTCCCACAGCAACATAAAGATGAAACAATGTAGCAATGCTACATTATTGCTGTACAATCTCTGGAAGATTGTAGAGGGATGAGCTGAATCCAAATAAACACAACAGGCCACACAACAGGCCAAATGAAAACTGTTAAAGCTGAACCCCGGCCAAAAACAATTTTTACCGATTTGCACTGCAAAAAGAAATGAACACTAATGATGTGTGCGCAATGTGCGGTCTCTGTTGCATTATGTTATGCTCTTACTTTAATTCCCTTGTACAATACGGCCAGCACTGAACGTCGCTCTGCAGCTCGTCCATCCTGAAAAATTCTTACATTGTTTTCAATACATGCATGGCATTGTGTGATTGGAGGATGTGTAGCTGAATGTCACAATCTCCCCTCATCCAATCACAGAACTGCATTCACTGAAAAGTACGCATTACGTTTTGGTAATGGACGAACTGCAAAGCGAGTGACCCCCTATCATCTGTGCTGGAACTATAAGTTTCAGCACCAGGCAATTGTCGCTGATTGTACTATACAGGGGGAACGAAAGTAAGAATATTACCTAACACAGCAGCAGCCACACATTACACACAATTATTTAGTGTTCAGTTATTTTTACAGTGTAAATATGCACAAATTGCTTCTGCTGGAGTATTTCTGAAAACTGGAACAACTGGCTTTTCCTGATAACATTTTCCAAAACACTAGAAGACAATTTGACAATTATATTTACAGCACTTAGATATAATTATAAAAAGATGAAGTAGCACATCAATCAATATGGTATGGACAGGAAAGTGTCAGGCATGAGAAGCATGAGGAAATAGTAGACGGATCTGAGTACATAGATCTGCAATGTAGGAACATAAGGTAAACAAGGACAACAAGCCAGGGAAAACAGTCCAGGTGAAATTCCAATCTCCCGTTCAAGGTCAGTTCTGCTGGAGCCGGGCCAAAACCGGAGAAACCCGCCAGCTGCTTCTGGCTATCCACAGAGAAGACAGACATCTGTTCAGCTGGTAATAGTAACAAAGCACCATATAAAAGGATATTAAAATGACACTAAACTCAGGAGTTAAATCTTAAAAATACATTCAAGTACCTTAGCTATTAATAAAACTGTATCTTATTTGTGTATCATTCGGCTGTAGATCCTCCAATCATCTCTGAATTGGTGCTGACACTGTCCTTCCTTCTGGAGGGTGACTACTTTTGTTCCCCATGGTCCCTGTGTGTGTTGTAAAGTAGTCACCGCTCCAAGCTTGATCGTGTGATGGACTACAATCTTATGTTTTGTTAATTTGTGTTGAGATTGTAGTCCATCATAGGAGTGAGCTTGGGGTAGAGAAGTTGATGCATAAAAGGGGCAGAAGCGGTGGACTGAGGAGTAGAGAGATTGGGTATTGTAAGCTTTCACTGAGCTGGAACTTCTAATTGCTTAAACATCTATTTGTGTACTGGAGAACCAATCACAACACAGAGCAATTCAACTATCGATTTTAATTTATCACACAGTATATTTCTATTAATGATTGATAGTATTTTTGATTCCTCTTATCAGTCGATTGCAAAGTCTAGAACAAAAGGTGTGATATATTTAGTTTTATGGCCACCGTTGGACTTACCCTTGCCCATGTCTTGTCCCGTGGCCTGTGCTGGGCCTGCTGGGAGCCACAAAGCCAAACATCGCCCGGCTGGATTCTGCTTCTTCCATGCATAAGACTCTCCATTCATTTCTATGGAAAGGTCGTCCTCCATTGGGACATATAAGCCTTTCGATAGGAATGAATAAAGAATCTTGCACAAAACAGAACCTGGTGGGAAGGCTTTCGGGGGAAGAAGCTGTGCGAATCTCTGCTGGTCACAAAGCCCAGGCCTCATTGGTACGATCACAGGTAGGTAAGCAAGTACAGTATAAGATTTGATGGAGGGGGATTACTAAGAAACGGGGCATTTATAGGGTAAATGTGCTAAAAGAACAGCTATAACCTCAACAGAAGACAGAGATAGTTCATAGCTTACGTACTATTTGTGTCTCTCTAGCCTGCTCAATTACAGCAATTATTATGCTACAGTGACTATACAGTAAAGGTCTTGGTATGGCTTGTTAGAATGGTACAGAGACAGGATCCCTATAATGATTCACTATAAAAGGAACCATATTTGGTGTCATGCCCCTGATTTAAAGCAGAATTTCAGGTAAATCAAATGGTAACCTTTGTAGTAGGGGACTAGTAGTAGGGGCTACACCCCGCACTGCAAGGGTTCAGTGATCATTTTGTCTAGGGAGTTATGCTCACCTGAACCGCAATCCCGGCTTGCTCTTACACTGCTCCCTCCAGCCTGTCTCCTCTGCTTAAGTGATGGTATGTCCCTCAGCGTCCTCACGTTCTGGAGCAGAGGTGGAGCGAGGCTGAAGGGAGCGGTCTAAGAGCAAGTCGGGATCGTGGTTCTGGCGAGTATAACTTTGTTATTTGAGCTCCTTAGACAAATCGAGCACTTAACTCTTGCCGAGCGGGGGTAGCCCCAATGCAAGGGTTAAGATTTGAATTGTCTGGAGTTCTGCTTTAAAGCGTTCCTAGCCTCAGATCTATTTATGTAAATGAGTCATGTGTAAATGTGACAGTTACAGGTAATTATTACTCCCGTCTTCCACCCTGACAATCTCTTCATCTGATTTCCTCTTCAGTAGGAGAGGTCCATCTTTGTTCAGGCATTTACTGCAGTCAGCATCTGCTTTCTGGAGATGCCAGCTCAGAAATGACAAAACCACGTAAATCCTGGTACCTGTGTAGTTCTTGACTGTGTTGTTTCCATACGTTTGCCCCAAATTGTGTGCAATAACAACCTCTTTTCAACCCTTTTTCTGGCCCCTCTTTTTGCATGGTTTATTCCATTATCATGATTATCCCATTATGATACTTAGGACATTTTTGATCTACGGTATGTGTCCAACGCATGTCTCCAGCTTTGCTGGGCACATGCATAATGTCCTCATATTGTCTTATTACCTATGCTTTCTAACTACTGGTTCAGTAGTTATTAGTAGAAGGCTTTGTTCATTTGGTTTTGATATTTTATGATTTTCAACTTTCCCACGATATTATGATGCCTCTTCTCCCTCTAATCATTCCTCCCTTTCCTGTACCTTACTTCCTCCCTCTCTTTTCTTCTTCTGCCCTTGTGTACCCCTTTCTTTCTTTCTTCCTTCCCTGTGTCACGCTGATTTGGCCAGAGCGTCCGTTGCCTAGCTACCAGTTGTGTTAGCACATCTGATTACGTGGGCGAAACCCATTTTGGCACGCTCAGCGTCCCGTTACCCGGGTTACCCTGCCCTCTACCGTGCATGCGCGGTCAATACCCTGTGACCCCATAGTTCTCCTTAGGGTAACGGGAGGATACAAACTAGCGTCCTCCCGTTACCCTAGGCTCAGTATACCGCGAGCAAAAGGTTCCGCTTCTTTTTGCCAATCGATACTGCTGCTGTATATTGTGACATGTCAGGAAATGGTTCATGCAGACTTGTAAGATCAATGAAGGGTCCACTTTAAAAAAGGACTTGACCTTTACTTTTTGGATCTGCAAGGTAATACAGGTATGTGAATAACTTCTCTGTTGACCCGCTGCACTTTAACAAATGCAGGTAGGAAGATGAAAAAAGGCATCTGACCGATAACTCTGCACATCGCTCTCTTTATTCGTAGTTTGGTATAAAACCATTTTCTGGAATGCTTCCCACAGTACACTTAGCCACGCTGCTTGAGGAAATGCCCCAGTAAATAAGGGGGTAAGGTGACACCCAGGATTAGAACTTCCTGGTGCCTTGAGCCGTACAAGGTGAGGTGAGCTGAGGACAAAGTTATTTCGGTACTGTTAAGGAGGTAGAAATAGCACATTCAACATCTCACATTGACAGTTCTATGTGATAAAACCACAAATGCTTTCCTTTAAGCTCCAGGGCCAGCTTTTTGTGACCTGTGACAAAGTATTCTCCTTCTGTCCTATAAACCAGTCTTTAATAAGAAGGTTCCCTGTTGAGTAAAACCTATAGCTCTGCAATTAAAAGGAGAACTATGGGGTGAGTGATTTTCATTCAACCACACATCGGCTCAATAGATCGGGAAGTGAGCGAACACATACCGTCGCTCGCTCACTTCTCGATCCTGTCCCTGCAGTGATTCCCCCCCCCCCCCCCATGTCGTGATCCGTCCTGGGTGTGGCGGATATACTGAACTTTGGGTCACGGGAGAATGCTAGTTTATGTCCTCCCGTGACCCTGAGGAGAACTATGGGGAAAAACACTTACCCCATAGTTCTCCTTTAACTCCCTGCTAACTGGACAGCTCTAGCTCTGACTTAGCATCAGACCTCTGCAGAGGGACCACTGCTTTCACACTGGGAGCCAGGGTCCTTCTCCACCGCATGCTGGTAGAGTGCAGGTTTTTAAATATAGGCTTTGCTGCTAAAAGAGACACTAAACTCAGGAGTTAAATCTTAAAAATGCATTCAAGTACCTTAACTATAATCAATGAAGGCTTACTATTTGTTTTATTTATTAAAGTGACACTAAACTCAGAAGTTACACCTTAAAAATGTATTTAGTCAAGTACCCTGACTATAAAAAAAAATGTTGCTTATTTGTATATCACCTTCTTGTATACCATCCTTCTGGAGGGTGGCTACTTTTTTTCCCCATGGTCCCTGTGTGTGTTGTAAAGTAGTCACCACTCCAAGCTCGCTCCTGTGGTGGACTAATGTGAGATTGTAGTCCATCACGGGAGTGAGCTTCGAGTGAGCTTGGAGTGGAGCTCATAGTTAAAACTTTATTTTTAAGGTTTAACTCCTGAGTTTAGTGTCACTTTAATAAAGAAAACAATTTTAAGCCTTCATTCATATAAAAGGTGATCCATTGTGGTGTGGTTAATGCGTGCTAACCTGCGTTTCATTAAGGCAGCCCATTCATACAGGTAGTCTATTCATTTGAATGGCCTAACAGTGCAATAGGCCTAGCAGCAGAGGAGGACCTGATGGAGAACTTCAGGTCCACCTCTGCTGACTGACAGCAGCAGTGGGCGGGTGCAGTAGCTAGTCTGCTATTGCAAATTGAAATAGCCAATAGAAGCCTAGCTATTCATTCCTATGCTGTTTTTTTTCCCTCTGACTGGCGGCAGCTGGCGGCCCGATATAAAAAAACAAGAGAGAGCAGGGAAAGGTTTACTCTGCTAGATAGAACATAGTAAACCTTTCCGGAAGAAAATGTTTCTCTTCCGGGTGTCCGGGAGCCGCTATCTTATAGCGGGAGACTCGTGGAATGTCCGGGAGAGTTGATATGTCTTAGATTGCACAATGAGCTTACAGTGAACCAATTAACCACTTTGGTACTTTTAAAAGTTCTGCCTTAGAACACATTTTACAAGGTGGTCACTATTGCATTTATTACCACAAAACCATCCTCAGTGTGCCTCATTGAAACTAGTTTCACTTTGTTACAGGGGCTTTCTTCAGGCATAAGGCCTGCTCCCTGATAATGGCTATATTATAGTCACCAGTAAGGACTTCCAAACTGCAGTGACTTGTTATAAAGTGAAATAGATACGCTCCTGCCTGCACCCCTCATTAGTTCATTAAGGACACTCCAGTACTAATATATTTGAGGATTGGAGACATAGAAGACAGCTTATTCAAATAATAAAAATTAAAAAGATTCTGAGTACAAAGGCAGCTTTACTATATCTGCATACCTACTATAAACATAAGAAAGCACGATGTTTAGAGCGCACTCCTGTAGGTCAGACACAACTCTGGAGATTAACTACTGGTGGTGTGCGAAACTCCTCATAACAGGGGGAGGGACCCTGTGCACCAATTAAAACAAACAAACAGACTCTTCTTGGAGGAGCGCTACTACCTGGAATAACTTTTATGGGCAATGCTTGTATCAAATAAGAGCATAGAAACAATCTTCTAGAATGGAAAGGATGTAAACTTACAGTTAGGATATGGGAGACTCTGCCCAAATCTTCACATCAGGATGTGATGGTCAGGTCCTTCTATCTGGCAAGTGAGAGGTGAGTGGCTGAAAAAGGGGGCTGGGCTGAATGGCTAAAACCCTCAAGTTGTCAAATGTTGAGCTGGTCTTAGAACATATCTGCAATATTGGAGCCGCTCTCGTACTCGGCTGGCCAGGCCGGGCCGCGATGGCTGGGATAGGGGGAATGTGAGGGAGAGAGCGAGAAGCCGCGAACAGCGCTGGAGCGCCCGATGCCGTATATACTGGCAATGCTGTAGGGCTGCTGTCTCGAGGTGTCCGATGGTCTCGCTGGCAACGAAAATCGCTGAGGGCTAAAAAGGGGGTGGAGACTTCTCGATCTTGTGGCTTGATAAAGAGGAATCTCCTCGAAACGCGTAGCCGTCTACCCACCGTGCACCTCCACCCCCTTTACAAGTTTACATCCTTTCCATTCTAGAAGATTGTTTCTATGCTCTTATTTGATACAAGCATTGCCCATAAAAGTTATTCCAGGTAGTAGCGCTCCTCCAAGAAGAGTCTGTTTGTTTGTTTTACTATAAACATAAGTTACTGATATTTATAGATGAAGCATGCAATGCTTATTTATATTAGAGAGAGAGACAGAGAGACAGAGAGAGAGACAGAGAGAGAGAGAGAGAGAGAGAGAGAGAGAGACAGAGACAGAGAGAGAGAGACAGAGAGAGAGAGAGAGACAGAGAGAGAGAGAGAGACAGAGAGAGAGAAAGAGAGAGAGAAAAAAGACAGATAAAAGATAGAGAGATGGGAGGGAAGAGAGAAAGAGGAGAGAGGGAAGAGAGAGAAAAAAAGGGAAGGAGAGAGAGAGAAGGGCGATAAGCGAGAGAGGGAAGAAGAAGAATGAGAAGAGAGAGAGAGAGAAGAGAGGGGAGAATATGGATATAATTTTTTTGTAACATGTATAATTAAAAAATGAAGGTCAAATGAACGCAACGATGATCCTCTAGGGCCGTGGATCCAGAAAATCTATACAGTAAAAAGCAGCTACTAGGAGATGAACACTAAAGATGGAACAGATAAGTATGAGGATGGAAGCAGCAGCTCAGGAAGTTGTTAAGAGCCTATCCAAGTATAAATAGATCTAGAACAAATATAGACTGAGGCTGGTGGATAGGACAGACAGAACAAACTGACTGTACCAAATAAAACCACGGGAAAGTGCTGACTAATGGCTTTTGCTGATGGAGAAAATGAAACGACAGGCCAATGTAAGCCAGAATCAGGAGTACAGGCCCGAAGCAATGAAGGATAGCATACACAAACACTAACACAGCAGTCAGCATTTCTACCTTTCAGCATTGATTTCCTTAACCAGTTGACATCCGCGGTGTTAAACCCCCTTCCCATCATCAATGGCCGGAAACAATATTGATTGTCGTTTCCTCCCATAGAAGAAGTATTATGATCACCTCTTTGGTGGCCCATGGCTCTTACCTTCGCTCTGTTCAAGCGCTGCAGTCTCCTTTGAACTTTTAATGCTTTCGTGAGAGTTGGATGTCTGTGTCCCCCTTTGCGTTTCTTTAGTTTCACATTCTGACCAGTAATGGACACAGCAGTGACATTGGATCAAAAGATGGAACCACAACAAGCAACGGGGGACACAGGGATCCAGCACTCCTGGAAGTGTTGAATGCTGAAGAGTTGGACAGAGGCTGCAGCACTTGAATGGAGTAAAACTAAGGGACAGGGCCACCGGAGGAACTGAAAATTTCACTTTAAATTGCATTCCTATCAAGGTCTTATTGATTTGTCAGGTCCCATTATGTGTACACGAGATGCACTGTGATACAGTGCAGACAAAAGCATGGGTCATTCGAGTACTTTAACATAGCCCACTTCTTGCCTTTTCTTACTGTCATGTCTATAGTGCAGTAGAAAAGGACATTCTGGTTGCCACAGGCAAAGAAGTCAGGTCTTCCTTCAGACACTTAAGCATGAGATCTTTTCCCTTTTCAGACTTATGCAAGTTCTTACTGAGCGGGCAAGGTAACAGTCTCAGAGAAAATGTACTTCTATGAATAAAACAAAAAATAAAATTAGACAATTGTATTGGTTGTGTCACTTACCAGGGGTTCCGCCATTATGATACGAATCTTGCGTTCCGCTTGTGTAGTAAAATTAGCAAATAAACTCTTCAGTATGTACTCCCCGGGCTTGCTCTCCGGGTCTATGCTGATGGGCAACATGGTTGGTGGCCCTTTTTCTCGTTGTGCACTGGATACTGGTTGCACTTGTGGTTTGATGTATCCGTTGCCCACTGGGGAAGCTGGAAACACAGAAATAAAGACACATTTACTACTGAGCTTCTTGCTTTTTCTGTTTATAGTCTATTAATATTCAGTGACACATTTATTTACACTAAAAAGTACAAATTTCAGCATAAGCTTCATAGAAATATAAACGGTAGATCAATTTGAGCAGGCCCATGTCCCGATGAAGAGAAAAACCTACAAATCTCACTCTAAAACAAAATTCCAAAACGCACAAAAATGTGTTTAAAACCCACATACAGTATTTCATGTCGCCCAGGTGTGAGTGAGGGCGAACAGAAGAGAGAAGAGAACAAAGCAGAGAAGTGAAGAGCAAAGCAGAGAAGTGAAGAGCAAAGCAGAGAAGAGAACAAAGCAGAGAAGAGAGAAGAGAAGAGCAGAGAAGAGAAGAGCAGAGAAGAGCAAAGCAGAGAAGAGAAGAAGAGCAAAGCAGAGAAGAGAAGAGAAGAGCAAAGCAAAGCAGAGAAGAGAAGAGAAGAGCAAAGCAAAGCAGAGAAGAGCAAAGCAAAGCAAAGCAGAGAAGAGCAAAGCAGAGAAGAGAAGAGCAAAGCAGAGAAAAGAAGAGAAGAGCAAAGCAGAGAAGAGCAAAGCAGAGAAGAGCAAAGCAGAGAAAGAAGAGAAGAGAAGAGCAAAGCAAAGCAGAGAAGAGCAAAGCAAAGCAAAGCAGAGAAGAGCAAAGCAGAGAAGAGAAGAGCAAAGCAGAGAAAAGAAGAGAAGAGCAAAGCAGAGAAGAGCAAAGCAGAGAAGAGCAAAGCAGAGAAGAGCAAAGCAGAGAAGAGCAAAGCAGAGAAGAGCAAAGCAGGGGAGGGGAGAGCAAAGCAGAGAAGAGAGCAGAGTGGAAAGGAGCAGAGAACAGAGCAGAGCGGGAAAGAGAAGAAAAGGGAGCAGAGAAGAGAAAGAGAGGAGGAGAGGAGAGAAAGGACAGTACTCATTCTTCAAACAAAAAACTCCTCCATCCACATTTCCATATTTATGCGTAATACTTCCAATGCAGTCTATGGCCTGGTAGCAGCACACTTCCAGCACCATTGGTAGTTTATTAAGCTGGCCATACACCTATAGATTATCTGCAGACTTTCTATGGTCAGATGGAAAAAGTGCAACAGATTCCTCCATCTACGCTAAAGTGTGTGGATGGAGGAATCTCCCACTGGGCCAAGCTTCAGTATCTTGCTAGTCGGCCCCGCTAGCTCTCAAAATACTAAAACAATCTGATTGGATGCAGGTATTGTTCAGGTGTTTTGAGAGCCAGAGGGGCTGACTAGGAAGATACTGAAGCTTGGACTAGTGGGAGATTCCTCCATCCACACAGTTTAACGTAGATAGAGGAATCTGTTGCACTTTTTTCATCTTACCATAGAAAATCTGCAGATCATCTATAGGTGTACGGCCAGCTTTAGGCCCCATTCACACCTGACCGTTTTGTAGCGCGTCCTACGCTCGATGAACGCTCTACAAAACGGTCAAAAAAAATAAATAGCATTGTAGTCAATGGTATTGTTCCCACCTGTCCGTATTTCCGCCCGTCCCGAACGCACTACAAAACGGCCCACGCATGAAAAGGTCCCGGAGCGTTTTTGCTGCGTATTGGTCCGTTTTGTAGGGCGTTTTCCATTTGGATACTGCCAAGTAGCCTTTGGAATCGCGCGACGGTCGCGCAACTTTTTTACCGCGAATCGCGGTAAAAAACCGTGTGACGGTCGCGCGACAGACGCGCATATTACAATACGCATAGGTGTGAATGGGGCCTTAGGACACATGGCACATCATCAGGAGAGGAACTAACAAATGAAGGCCTTGTACGCAGCACCAGACCTCTAGTGAATGTGCTTCATGAAGGCCGGATTATCATTATATCCCAGTTTACATATCACACCGACTTCTGGTAAATAAACTGCACACAAGAGCAGCCTGGGAAATGGAAACTTGCTACTGAAACAGCCTTTTCTATTTCATCCTTCTTGTTTCTGGAACTTTCCATAAACACACATTATACTAACAGTGAAAGGATTGCGCCATTTACAGTATATGTGTTGAAAGAGATCCATCTTTCTGGAAGAATTTGGTTAAACGGCCTGTAAACGTAAATTCAACACTGGGTAATGTGAAGAGGGGAAGTCAGTGTTTACAGGTATAAGGAACATGTTGAAATAGAAGATAATTGTTATCAGATTGTTATTGTGAAGAATTTCTCAACATAAAAATGAAGTTTGGCCTATTAATATGTGAATGGACACTTGATATTGGGCTTATTGCGGCAATAAGTCTAATATCAAGTGTCAATTTACATATTACATGGCCGAACTTCATTTTTATGCTCATACACATGATTGCAGGGTAGGGATGCCCAATACTGTTTTTTCGGTATCGAGTGCCGGTATTTCTTTTTCCGGTACTTGCAGACACCGAATACCAATACAGGAAGTCCCATTAAGGAAGCCGGGCAGCAAAACATTACACAGTGCCTGGCTTCCTGATTGGCCGGGAAGCTGGATCTATGCTCTCTCGTCACCAAGTGATGAGAGAGCATGGAGCCGGCTTCCCGGCCAATCAGAAAGCCGGGGAGTAAGTCATTACCCCCCCGGCTTCTTGGTGACGAGGGAGCATGGAGCCGGCTTCTCAGCCAATCAGGAAGCTGGGCAGCATGTAATGACTCGCTGCCGGGCTTCCTGATACGGGAAGTTCCGGAATCGGGATAAGCATCAGGAGCATTTGGGCACGTATTATTATTATTACATAGTATTTATGTAGCGCCAACAGTCTGCGCAGCGCTTTACAATATAAGGAAGACATTACAGTTACAATACAATTCAAGACAAGATGGTAAGAGGGCCCTCCCCCTGAGGGCTTACAATCTAAAAGAGGAGGGGGAAATGATACATGAGGTAGCTGTGGTAATGAATTATGCAGCCAGAGTGGGAGATAGATGGAGAGGTTGGGGTAAGGAGTTCCAGAGGATGGGAGAGACTCTAGAGAAGTCCTGGAGGCGAGTATGGGAGGAGTGGACAAGGGAGCTGGAAAGCAGGAGGTCAATGGATGAGCGGAGGGGACGTTTAGGGTGATACTTTGAGACGAGGTCTGAGATATATCCGGGGGCAGAGTTGTGGATGGCTTTATAGGTGACTGTTAATACTTTGAATTTTATCCTCTGGGCGAGTGGAAGCCAGTGGAGGGATTGGCAGAGGGGGGATGCAGACACTGAGCGGTTGGTAAGGTGAATGAGTCTGGCAGCTGCAGAGTACTAGTACAATATTAGTACAATACTAGTATCGGTATCAGTGCATCCCTATTGCAGGACGATAGTCCATACATAGGGGGTTATTCACAGAGGAGCCGAAGGATCCAGCCGTAACTTCGGCTAATCCCCCTGCTCTCTTCGGCCGCCTCTGCCCTTTGGTTCAGTCGAACCGAAGGGCTGCTGTATGGGCTATTCACTATGGCCCGTACAGCAGCCAAAGGCAGCCGAGCCAAAAGGCATATGCTTTGGCTCGTCTGAGCCGACGTGGCAGCCAAAGCGGGGCGAACGGCCTGTCTAAGGCTGGCCTTTCGCTCCGCAAATGACAGCTGGGCGGAGGCAGCCGTGATCTCACAGCTGGCTCCGCCCAGTTGTAATGACAGATCACATTAGATAACATTTACTTATACTGGCATTCAGCTTCAAATGTATCACGTCTTAAAAGGCCTAAAGGTGCCCATACACTGCACGATTCTCGTACGAGACTTGCAAGGGTTGTAAAGTGTATGGGCACCTTTAATCACTTTTGAAAAACAAATAATAAATATATTCCTAAAAGTAAAAGTGTGCATTTACTTTTTTTTTTGCCATTGGGTGCAATGCTCTGGCGCTGCAGATACTACCTCCTGTCCCTGGAATGAACATGCCATAACAGGGACGAGAGAAAGAATGAATGGACCACAAGTGCTGTGACATCCCCGCACTTGTATGCCATTGCAAAGTCCCTCTGTTGGGGTGGCTGATGGGATTCGTACTTTCTCCACTGACAGTGTGGGCAGCGTCTTCAATCTAAAGTGATAGTGTGATTGAGGGATGGGGCAAACTGCTGCAGGTATGTAATGCCAGCACCCAGGGCCGATCTTATGACGAGGCAGCCCGACGTTCTTGCCTCAGGCAGCATCTCTTTGGGTCACGTTGGGGGCCTCAGGCAGAACAGCATGGCCGTTCTGATGCACAATTTTTTGAGTGTGCCTGCCACCACCTTTCTGGCCAGAGCGTCCCAGATTGCAAAGAGCTGGGTTGGGAGATGTGTAAGGGCAATACACAGTGACGTTACTGGTTGCCGGTAGCTGGGCAGGACACCGTCCAGAGCATCCCAGATTGCCAAGAGCGTGGCTGGGAGATACAGAGCCTGCAGGGGTCAGCGTCACTCTCGTGTCTAGCGGTGCCATCTCCTCTACCCACTTCCTGCTGCTCTGATTGCATTCACCACCACCCCCAAAACCCATCCAATCCCCTGCCTCAGGCGGCAAAAAGGGCTAGGGACACCACTCCTGGCACCTAGAGATCTCTGTAAATGCATGCAGCAGTCTTCCAAACCTTCCTGTAATGGCCGAACCTTCTGACAGGCAAGGCTTCAGCACTTCTTAAGATCTCGTTCACCCAGGTAACAAGGGGACGGTAAACCAGGCGGTTGATGGCAATGCACAGAAACCAGTCAGAACGAAGCAGTCATATTATATCCCATACAAGAGAATGGGCTGTGACCATAATCACCATATAACACTGAAGGGCAATGCACTTATTAAACATGGAATACTCACTAGCCGGACCCATGTCTGATATTGTCCGGAGAACTGAACCGAGTAAGTCACTTTTCTGTATTTCATGTCGAGCAGGAAAGAGAAGAAAGCAAACAGCAGTGCTCCCTTTCCATACATGACATTCCATAACTGAGATTCTCAGGCCAGCGGCCAGAACCGGATTAATGTTCTATGGAAGCGACAGACTGTGCCTTTCCAAAAAGATGGGTCTGTCTGA